AGTTACATTATATACCGCAAACTATTGTTTTACTTAATTAGTATTAATTCAATTTTAATAGTTTCATACGCGACATTAGAATAATTGTTAAAAGTGGGGACTGCATTACTAAGTACAGGCTATTGCTATTATGTTTGTAAAGTGGTTACACAGAAATAACTATGTTTATATTCCATAGAAAATAAAACAGAATATACAGTTGCTTATACACATGAAATCGATCAGAGATATTTTCTCGGAAAACGTCATCAAGTATTGTCTTTACGGAGGATATCTGTATACGTAATTTTATTGCCTTCAACATCTTAGATATCTTGCTACTGTATGGTGACTTCAACTACCAATCATCTTGCTAATTACTATTCAAGTTGCCTTTCGCAGGAAAATATCAAGTGAGACAAACACACCTACGAAGACGACTTTGTGCAAAGTCATCGCCCTATAAAACTTGTTTTGTTCCACTAAAACTGACTTAAGTTATGATATTTATATAAAGCCTATAAGTAAATAAATACTATCGTAAAAAGGTCATCAAATTTTATGCAGAATTAAAGAATATTTATGTTTGAAGAAATAAAAACAATAATTAAAATGTACATATATATTTGTCAATCAATGGAACATTGTGAATGAAATAGACCGTTTGCAGTATATTTTGGTATACGAATAAATATTATTTTCCCTATGTAAATATTATTTATAGATACGTCATTGTTTTGATTAATCGCGTGCTTTTTTGCTATTTTTAAATTATTTTATCATAAATTGTATTTTTCCAGTATATCCTATTTGTAGATATGACATTTTATATTATCTCGCATCTTTGTCATAATTTTCCTTTCCTTATCCCACGTCATTTGGGGTCGGGGTTGTATGTATTCTGTACCATAGTAATCTTCTGTAGTCATAAATGTACCTTTATTTATGTACAGTATCTTATTATATTATATTAATAGATACAGGTCGATATTTTTACTATTAACATAAATCATTACATAGTATATAACAAAGTCGCGGTCGCTGTCTGTCCATCCCTATGTATGCTTAAATCTTTAAAACTACAACAATAATAAGTATCATAGACGTTAGTTTTCTTTAAAAAATGTATGCGTCGTTTAAAATTAGTAATAATTAAATATATTATAGGTACATTACTTATATAGTCTTATACACATATAATTTACGTGCAATAAGTATCATTTCCAAAAAATATACTTCCTAAATTTATTCATGAAATCAGGAAACTCAAACAGAAAAATGCAATAAGACCATACTCCTGAATGTTTGAGACAATCTTATGACAAGTAATGAATCTAATTTTCGACCAGGACATTGCAACAAAGGAAAACAATTAAATAAATGAAGGAAGGGGAAATAAAATATTAATAAGAATAATGTTTAAAAGTAAAATTAATAACTTGATTTGAATAATAAGCTAAGAGATTTTTTAATTTGTACTGTAGAAAATTTTGAATTTTAAAGGTCATCATCGAAATATGATCTACGTAATGATGGGGTTGCGAGATTAAAAACTTACTTAAATTTACACAATGACGTCTATATACATGAACAGCACTACAGACATCACGATATCATGTGACGCCCATGAAAACACTCATGCGTTGATATACTGAAGGACTAAAGCAAGCTATGACAAGCCTTTAATATTACTCTCTTATGAAGAGTGGATCTTCAACAGAACAGGCCTGCTAAGCAAGTTTCTTAACGCCTGAATAGGTGACACTGCGGACGCAGTGCAGTGCTACGCAGCCCACTTTTTACAAAGTGTACCTCGGTTAAACTCACTTAGTTTAACCGAGGTCTTCCTACAGCATACTTGCAATCAATCTACCGTTGGAGTATAACAAATCCCAGTCACGTCTACCCTCTTCATTAAACACTACCAATCTAACTTCTTGCCTTGTATATAGGTATTTGTTTTAATTTAACATCAATAAACCAGGGTCCATTTGTTGATATAATAATGATATGATTTTATATAAAAAGTAACAATATTATTATTTAATAGGCACAATACCTATTAGAACTACGTGTTTGTAGGTCTAATAGGACAAATCTATTTTTGATAGTACACATTTCGAGGGTGCCGATAGTGTGAGGGTGCGTTTCGGTTTTGCGGTCGTCCTTTCTCCTCCCAATACGATCAGCCGCAAAAGTTAAAGAACCCTTTTGAACTCTAATGCTCTGTATTAAGGTACAATAATGTAAATATACTCAGCTACTTGTATTTCCGATTGTACGTGTTCCTGAACTATTGTTTTGTTTGCTCAACCGTAATTAGTAGCGTTTGTCATGTTACGGTAGCGGTTTTTGAAGCGTTTATTTCAACAATTTCATTAATTGGTTAAGAGTAGGGTGTTAAGATTGCTATTTGATGATTATACAAAGTTGGCTATATTTACAACAAACCTAAAATCAGGGTATAATTATACCAAGCCTAAACTTAGTGACATTCAATATTTAATACAGCAAAATAACTGTCTCTATAAGGAATTTCGTAAATATAAAGAAATATTACTAATACAAACTGCACAGTCATATGATCAATTTAAAATAAAAGTTTACTAATTTTACAATAATTTCTGAACCACTTGAGAAATCTACGGTTTTTTCACCATATTCAGTAGTATTAAAATGACTACAAAATAACTGCAATAACTGAAGACATTTTCAGTTACCTATGCAATATATTGGACACTCGACATAGTCAAAAATGATACCAATTTGAATCCAAATAAACTGGTAAACCAACCTTCGATTCATAATCTTTGATGGAACTCTAATTTGATGTGTTAACAGTATTAGAAATCACTGTAGAATTAGTTCGATAGTTAATTGACAAAAAAAATAATTTTAATCCCAATGGAACGTAAACCTTCGGTTAATCAGCTACATCACGAGTTCACTACATACTCGTACAAAGGACTACTCACTCTCTCATTGCATTTTACTATTAATAAATTCTTCTACCTCGCGACTTCATGCGTGTGTAAACATCAATATGACGCCACTTGTATTTTAATCGAGCAAAAAAACAGTAAAATAATAGGCACCGTATCACAAAAATAACTAAATTAATATTTCATAATTTCTACATAATGTATGAAAATTTCTACCTAATTCCTTCAACTGTATTTACGCGTAACCTTAACAAGGAAACAGATACTTCGCGATGTGACAATTTTAGAATTATAATATTTTGAAAGTAAAGATTTATATCATCTGACTATCTCGGTGGTCTAGCAGTTTAGCACATCGCTTCACTTCCTAAGGTCGCGTTTTGTTAATTTTCCAGGGTTATCTATTATTATAATATAGTATTTATGCTATTATTAATACTACTATACGAATACGATCATATTGTCACTAATCTGTCACACTTGTTTATACGAAGCACCAAACAAAAGTCCCATCCCCCTTTCGTTAACACATTAAGGCATGTTGACAGCGTCGTGTAGAATTATGAGCAGCTCTTTCCCTAATATCGGCTCACTTATCCTTATTAATCCTCGTCTGAATGCAAATACGAAAGTTACCTTTCAACAAAATTTGTTTGCTAGCTGACTCTCAGAGTATTAATATATCGGATTGTGCGGAAAGTTAACGAAAAGTTTATATTGCCTATTAGGACATAGGTTAGCAACAGTTATCACTCAATTATTTACCTATTTGTAATAGTAATAGTTAATAGTATTTAAAGTAATATTAATTATAGATACTCTCTTAAATTCTTAATACTAAAAATAATTTTATCTATGCCTATCTGTCTATCAAATAGCCTATGCCTGTTGATAGACAGCTGTTATTTTATTAATAAAAGTATAACTTTTGAAACCCTGTTATTTATAGGGTCATTACGTGCTGTATCTATGGCGAGTCTCTATTACTCACTTGAAGCGGACTGAAATTATCAAGTTTTGACCCGACAGCCCGTTCCAAGGACGCCGTTCAAGCAAGTGGGCGCCAGTACAAACCAATACGTCGTTGTTGGCACGGGCCGTCGGGTCTGAACTTTAATGTGATGACCCTTTATAGAGGTCTTCGCTTTTGTAAATATTCGAATAAAAAGAAAATGTAACATGTTTTTATATAACATGTTCCTAGTATTTTTAATAAGATCGCTAGAAATGTCAAGTTGTACTTAAGTATATGAATAATATCAAATGAATACTAATGGTTTTTATATTAACCTTATAATCATACATGTACTCTATTATCTTTATCCTGAATATATAAGTGATCTGTAAAAATAATACTTATATTTTTCTTCTAACAACAAATATTATCTAAAACTATTACAAAGCTTTCTTATTACTAACAATCCAGCCTGGATTGTTAGTAATAGCCCATTGTTAACAATGAATATGTTAGGTCGATCTCCTTGTGGTACCCCTAGATACCATTGTAGTTAATTCCTGGTGAATTTATCATATGGACCTAACTGACTTGACCTCATTCTTATCTTGTTATCCTCCTCTGTATTGAATTGGGAGATATTCCTAGTGAAATTAACTAGATTTTAATGAATATTATTAATAAAATACGAACGACATGATGTTAAACGTATCTTTATAATAAATCAATTTAATTTTTACAATGACAGAATTTATTAGTCAAATACAATAATGTATGTACCTCTATATTCATTCTGGTGCCTAGCCAGCATAGACTGTTAGTCAACGCGGATGCACTATATCATAATCATCTATAAAAATCAATTTTAAAGAACAAGTATCTATCTATTATATTTTTCGAACAATCAATTTGATTAAACAAATATTTATATTACGAATTACAAATTTATAAATCATTTTCTGGTTTTCACCGGGAAGTTTGCACACTTGGTTAAACAGAAAATATTTTCATCCAATCAAGAGATTATATTTAATTCTATTATTATTAGGCAATAATTTTATTATTATTTAAGTATTTCGTTTTATTTTTTAAGACTTAGATTAAAAGTAGATTCTATCCCACAGTGCCTCCACACCAACTAATGCTGTACGACAAATCGGGCCGAGACGTGTCAGGGATCGTAGGCCCACTTGAAGAGGGTAACGAACTCGTCCTCGTCTGTGAAGTAAGAGGTGGTAAGTACTATGTCATCAACATATGTCTATAATGCTGTAAAGTATGTCAGTAGGTATAACATTCTAATATGACACTTGTACATATAGATTTTCAATTGTATCAAGTGTACCAATATTATTTACTGTTTATTTTCTGTTCGTGTCAAGCAGATATTCTTCATATCAACCTCATTTTGGGGTAGCTAGAATAATAGAAACTCAAATGCTGTACTTTATTCAAAATATATAGATATAGACCTAGTTAATTTTTTATATATACCTTAACAGAACCCTTAAAAATTCAGACTAATATCGTAAATACGAAAGCTTGTCTTTTTTTCTGTCAGTTTCGCTGTTTACTACCTATTCATGACTAAACTTCTGAATGGATTTTAATAAAACTTAAATTGAAGAAATATTCGTGGGTTATCTTATATATAAGAAAATAAACTGAAAGGAGGTAAATGGGAGAGAAAACCTCTTGTTTTAATCAAGCATAACAGCTAGTATACACTAATTGATTGATACTTCACGATTTCGGAGTTAGACTCCATTTTGTTACAATTGAAGCCATTCTTGTGGAATAAAATAAGCTTGTCTCATCCAGTTGCTAAAAGCAGGTGAGATATGTAGGACTCCTTCCAAAATTAATTTCAACCTATAGTCATTATCGAAATCGGTGCGTCATCACAAATCACGACAATATCAGTCAAGGAATAAGCATAAGTTCTCCCCCAAGTGGGAGATGAGAAATTAAAGCGATTACTTTGATATATCGCTGCTAAACTTGCCGATAAGTCACTCTGAGAGATCGGCTCCAAATGGCACCCGGTAAAGTTATCCATTGCCCCGGGGCGAGGAGTGCGCGGAGGGTTCACGATTCAAACAAGAAATTATACGCCTTACTAGGTATGGTGTCTGAACATTTTACAAAATTTATATAATGACTTCACCATCTTTTTAAGGTCGTGCCATTTCCCAAATGCCATAAGAACTTATAATAAATTCTAATGAAACAGTTCGAATCAAATGTTCACTGCAGAGCATTGTAAATTAAGTTATGTTTCACCCACACAAATCTGAAATTTCATGTTATCCTCAATGGGAAAAAAATAAAAACGAGACTCAAGAGTTCAATTACAAAAGTCTAAGTTTCTAACTTATACAAAACATACCTCCCACATTAACCCCTAAAGCATCCATCTACTAAAAAATGTTGAAATGTGTGTATCTGCCAGAAACCAAAATATACATATCCACTTTTCTACTTCGCAAGAACTTTAGCGACTCTATTACATTTAGTTCTGATTGAAATAAGAGTTCTTGCCGAAACAAAGTGAGGACAAACTAATGAAAGAAACAAAGCTAGTAATAAAAGTACACTAGTCAAGAGAAGCCTAGGTGCCTAGCGGGCACAACAATTGAATTAAGGAATGAATCCACAATGAAATAGGACTTATTTTATTGTGTACCTTTCACAGAGCCAAATAACATTCTAGATAGAAATCATTGAATTTATTTTCCTTTTTCTTTCATACAATTCAGCATTACATATCGTGCAAATATTAGACTAATTTTTCATTAAATTATTTAGATTACTGCGATTAATGTAATATTCTTTTGACTTATGCTTAATTTTCAAGAATAATAAATATTCACATGTTAGACCCAGAATTTAGCCCGCCAACCTATGTATATAAACGTTGTTATTATGAAATAACAGCTAAATTTCTTATGCCATATCTCCTACCAATATGAATAAACTTTTGACTTTAATTAAAATCGTAATTTGGTTGTACATTGTCCTTATACCAAGTTTAGTTTATATTTCAAATTTTATCCAATAGCCGATAACGAGAAAGGAAGCAATAAATAATGACTGAATTTTTGGATCTAAAATATTTTACGCAGTCGACTAGATTAAAACAAATACAATTTCCAGCTACTAAGAAGGTAACCACGTTTGAATAATCCTCAAGGTAATAATTTTGAAGTTATAAGCATAATAATATTTTCTGCGTATGATACGATACTAAGTTAAGAATCTTCGCTTGTACGAAGCGCTTCTAATCTTCAACGCTTAATGTTTCGAGGTGGAATTATGCATAGCCCTAGGGATTAGCGGCTTGTCATTCTGTGTCGGTTTTGCGACTTTGCCGGATCATTTTCATGGTCGATGTACGGACACATAGATTGGCGAGTAACAAGTTACGAGAGAATAGGCAAAGGAAAAACGTTTCTGCTCGAGGCGGCTTGCGTTTAGAAGTTAAACAGTTGTTTCATTATATTTTTTTTATTTGTGGTTTGAAGATCGTTGTTTGTTGCTTAACAGAATGAGTGTTCTCATATACATATAGTTATAACTATTCCAGTTTTATAAAACAACTCAATTCTATTCCTTTTTCTATAGATATTGATTATTTTATTAGAAGTGTATTTGATTTTAATAATTTAAACTGTTTTGTCTATTATCAAATGCTATAATATTTCAGGGTTTGCGTATAAAATTTATATTGTTTTAAATATTTTCTCAAGATATCAAAATATTCAATTAGATTCATTTTAACAAATGATATCAATCGAGATTATACAGTAGAAGTAGATCTATATGGACATAAGAGTATGTAATACTTTTTATTCAGACAATGATACGAACGTGTTACATACTTGTATAGTTACTATACTACAGAAGTAAATTGACCACCGAAATTCGTAGTACGTACAGTACAGTATTTATTATAAATTCAAAAATCTTTCTGTCAAGTATGTCTGTTAGTTTATTACCTATCACGACTAATTTGCTATCACATTACAATGAAATTTTATATGATAACACAGTATATCCCGAAAACAGATATACTATCTTGTCTATCAAAACATTTGATGAAGTTGCAGATAACTAAAATAATATATTATATACATATGTAGCTTTAACTACTATCAGAAATAACTGATATGCTATATAATTCATAATAGTATTTCAGTTATTCCCGTTTCGACTACTACAATCTAGAAGTAAGTAATCCTTAATCTTCGAGCGACCGCTTTGTCTATTCATCAATAACCCATTTAAGTTACAACCGCGACTTTATTACTTAACTCTAACTTCTGATGTCTACCATTAGAAGCTCTAGCTACCATCTTGTATTACATTAATTCACGTAAAACAATGTACCTATAAGTTACTATTAAGGGTATTGTTTATCAAACTATTCCACCACTAATAATTATTATAGTTAAACATTTCATCGAAGTGTACAATTGACCTACATAAAGGCTTCTAAGTAAAATATACACCACCGTCTAGTAGCTTTTATCATGAACATTTAATTTTTTACCGACCACAGAATATGGAGGCAATCAAATCAATTGTTATGTACACAATCGTTTATTTATAGATAATTGAGGGGAAATATAGGTACAAATATTTTTTTTAACAATACATTCGCAGTTTGTTGTGACAAGCATTGTTCCGTTTTTGAAGGGTGAGAAATCGAACAAATAAATATTTAACTACTTACAACGCAGGACAAGTACAATGAAGGTTGCTATTACATTATATTATACTCTAATTATATTATTACTTTGCATCGAATGAGCTTTCGGTAAGTTTCTTCTAACATTTATATAAAATTACTTAATAATATTGGGAATGATAATAAGGCTATCGTCGTGGTTTGTACAATATATAGCTTATATAAAAATACGTACGTCTGAGCTGCTAAGTTTGTAAATCCATAATTCGTGTCTATTTTATGTATTTTGCATATTAAACAAGCTGAGGGCCATCTGCTTATAACAGTGATACGATGTCATGCCGCCTTTTCCTTTATACACTAACATATCTCACCCTTTAACTGAAACAGTTTCCAAAGCTGCCTAACGGCTAAAATAAATGAGGGACAGACCAATTTATACAAAATCTACCATAGTAATATTTAATATAGGTATTTATTACAGAAAACAGACAATATTGACTATATTTTAAATTCATTGTTTACGATCGCTTTATAACGATGTTCTATCATATAAAATATTATTAGTAGGTGATAATAAGTGATAACAACATATACATGATGTAATAAATAGATAGGTTTTATGTTTAAAAAAATTTGTGTTCAATAAGGTTTTAATTTTGCATTTTATTCTTGTCTAAGTTACAATAGTAGTTTAAATCACGTTATCCTCGATTTCACTCGGTTCTACTTTGATTTTTACCAAAAAAGCTAGTCCTTGTCCTTTTCCAAGATCCAAGGTCTCTCTCAAGTGAGTCAGCGGTTACGGCGTGATGTCGTAATAAATAAACAGACAGACGGAATTTTTTTCACTTTTTTAATATTTGTATTCAAAACAACATTAGTTGTAAATTTCATTATATGTAACTATAGCTAGAGTTTGCGATCGTGTATAAGTTTATAAGAACAAGTAAGTTTGTTGACGTGGAATGATCAATACGGCCCACTGAGGAGACCATGCGTTTTTGTTTTTAAAATAAACTTACGTTCCTATTTATCTTTATTAAAATGTCGATCAAACGCTTAACCGTACGATGTATATTTTAATCCGCCATCAACGGAGTCTCTGTCTTCTGCAAGATGGGCCGATGATATTAAGAAGGTGGTTGAATGCGAATGGCGGTAGACCATATATGGTGAAAATTCCTATGTCAACAGTGGTTAGAATTATACTGAAATGATGAAATTGTACATGCATATCTAATAATATTTATATTAATATATAGATAGTTGACATGGGTACCATTCTATTATATAGACTCAGATAACGATTTTAATCGAGCATTATGTCGTAATATCAATTAAATAGAAAGACATAACCTAGGGTTGCATAACGTTATGTATGCGCCCTGTCCTATGAGATGTTAGCAATCAACATAGCGATTTAATCTTGTTAATTGCTGATCTCAATCAATCTAGTAATAATATTGAAAATGATTGTTATTTGTATTTTTAATTTGCATCATATGCTTTTAGTACTCTTTAGTTATTTTTAATAGTTGTAACTGGTCCCATCCTCTATTGTTCTCGATAGCTTCATTATTCTGCTGCCACATCATTGTATTTTATTAAAAAACAATTAAATCCGTAAATTTTACATAGAGAATGGTTACCTCATAATACCCGTAGTAGGCCACGATAACGTAATTATGGCAGCGCCGCACCCCAAGACGTACCTCCGTGCTAGCGTTACTTTGTTCTAGTTCATTCGAATATTAGGCCAATAGACAGATTGATAGATGATAAATGGCTGCATAATATTAGAGAAATTGTAATTCATACTTTAACAAGAATGAAATTCATCTGTATCTGGTTCCGTATTACATTATTCAGTACAGTATTCAGCGCTATCGTTAACCATGGCGCTGTTATCATTATTTTAATAAACTTATACTTATACTAATTTATATATAATAAACTTAAAATAAGCTCTGTATATATGTTATTCAATATATAGATGCCTTGTATAACGCTTTCGGATTACTGTTTTTCTAGTCTGTACACTTTAGTCATGTTGAAGCTATACCAATAGTGTATACGATATGACTTCACGGGTTTTTGTCGAGATTTGGTTTTGGGGAGCGTAACGCTCTTTAATTTCATTAAATTTTAGAACTCCTTTCAATTTATTGCTTGTATACAACTAAAATATACAAATTGATTGAGATAATTTCAGTAAACTATAAATATTCATAAGCGGATTCCTTAATCTTCCAATCGTTTTATCAATCCGAACATTTAAAACAGCCGCTTTTGTGATTCAATGACAAATAAAAGTACCATTTAATTGTGTCCAACTCTACTCGTATTCGCTGTCGGTTGGAAACTTGTTTATTTTATTCAAGTGCTTGACACAAAACCTAACATAATATCATTAAGTCGTTACATGTCGTTGGCCAGTTATAAAATAATTTACCTGAGCGTAACACGCCATCAGATTTTTAATTAAGTACACGTTTCTAAAAATGTCCTCTTTATGTTTTCATTATTTTTAAGCAGTAATATATATAATTATTCGTCATAATAGACCAATGATGAAGTAAAATGGGAGCATTTTAAAAATAATTTTACTAATAATCATATTAGAGTAACTACAGTAACCGTTTACCATCAGATGGGCCTTATGCTCGTTTAAATTTAAATTAAAACAAGTTCCAAAACCTTTATTCACGCAGTCGTCATTTACGCAGTCACGTTTATGTGTAAATATTTAAAATTAATTATATAGTTTTGTATTTTTAGTGTTGTTTCTTGGTGAAAGAGATTTAATTTTATAAATATTCCACCTAGCTTTTTACTTCGTATATCCTATAAAACTAACTTTGTATAATTCTCATAAAATCCCTTCATTTATTTTGAGATTAAAAAAAATAATTTATTCCTTCATTTTACACAGGCCGGCCAACTCCGACTGTGATATGGCTAATAGATGGGAATCCAGCGCTTCAATATGTTAACGAGAAAACAGATACTCATGTAGTTGTAAATAAATTAGAACTACCACATGTGAGAAGAGATCATTTAAATACAACTTTCAAATGTCGAGCATCAAACACAAACCTCGTTAGCCCGCAGGATAAAACTGTACGGCTGGAGATGAACTGTGAGTATTTTTTTATTTACTCCATAAGTAAAAATCTCTTATTAATGTTTCAAGAAATCATAGGTTAGAATCTCAATTACGACTATGGTTATGGTATGCAACACAGTATCAAAAACGTGTCAGTGAAAAACGCAGACATTCATATTAAATTCCTATAAATGAGAATTATATATTGTTCTATTTTCATCTATCAAATAATACTGGCTAAAAATAAATCGACAGCCATTATTAAATGATTAGGTTTTGTTCTTTACTTAAATAATTTTAGCGGGAACTAACTTTATAAAGTAATATTGCATACTGTAACCATATAAAATTAAAGATTGCTGGAATAAAATATGCTTATTACTTGTTTCAGTGAAACCAACAATGGTAGAAATTCTAAACAAACCGTCGTCACTATCATCAGAAAGGCACGTGAACCTCACTTGTGTGTCAGAGGGTAGTCGGCCTCCCGCTCAGTTGACGTGGTATAAGGACAATAGGAAGTTCAAAAGAGGGAAGGTAAGTAGATACGTACATAATTGTATTCTGTTGTATAATACAATCATAGTAAGCAGATGTAATACCGAGTTGCTATTGTAGTGAGACCCTATCCTATTAGGACGAGAGACGGTCTTCAGATCAATTATGTTCTATATTAAAAAGGTAAAGAAAAACTCCTGTAGTGCTACATCGCCCCATATCATCATATCTCACAGAAATATATTCAAATATACATACGTATATAGTAAATACCAATAATAGACAAAGATACTTTAATATTTACTCATCAACAAATGGTATTTATAATTAGTGCCGATTTACAAAAAAACAACTTTAAAATAATGAACAACATAGCTGCTTAGGACGTTAGGTTAAATACAAGGAAATTTTATTCATTTTCCTGAACAATATTTCCTAAATTGTCATATAAGTAAAAAGAACAAAAACAAACCAATTACATTATTTGATCAGAACTCTTACTGAACGAGTTCGCCTAGACTATAACAAGTTTCATTAATACAAGAAAATTCCATGTTTCCAATTTGTAGTTCAACTAAAAGTACCTTGATAATTGGTAAGTCAATGACGAAATAACGAAACTTTGGTGGTAGATAATTTGTAAAATATAATAGGCGGAAACTTTGTAATTTAGAAGTTCAGTTAAGCACGTAAAATGCTTTTGGTAGAAGAAAGATTCGGAGCAATAATTTTATATATAACAAAAATATACTGCTTTTAAAGAAAAGTTGAGTTGCCTAGAAAAAGGGATAAATCAGATGTGGATTAAAACTGTACTTAAATTGCGAGTTCATTCTTTATGCGAGTTTTTAGTATGCAAATATTACTAGTCGAGGTTCTTGTAGAAATAAAGTAGGATTCGATATCTAATATATAGATATTCCAAATACCAGAATGGATTCTTAGTAATGGAGACTAGACAAGATAAAGGTATGAATATCGATGCAAGCAATATTTTTATTTCCATTAAAATTAAAGTATCTTCAGACCTGACCTGATATATTCCAAGATCTGATTTCTAAGTTTCAAGAGTTTATTGGCCATTTCTGTTGCTGGTAAAAATTGTACAATAATTTAGCTGCAATATTCTGTTTCTTCTTACGACAGAGAGTTAGAGAGTTACTTTCTAGAGCAGATGTCATGCAAGTGAAAACTTGGGTCTGGAGGTATTTTAGGCCACAAAGAAGCCATATTTAGCTTGGAGTCATGTTTTTTTCTATAGCTTTTTAAGTTTTACGTAAATAATATTTTTTAATAAGAAAATTGTATCTTTATGTAATTGAACTTATTAATGTGAACATATGACTAATGTTCACATTAATAAGTTCAACAACAAAAAACACTTGTATTAATGCTTTCGAATTCTTGATATTTCATGCCTTATCAAAATATTAAATCTAAATATATACTTAAAAGAGATGTAAGTATATATTTACGATAAGATATACATAAATGTAATCGAATACGGTAAGTAATTGGGATTATATATTGGTAAATTAAGTAAATTTATAACCAAAACTACAAAATAATATCAAGTTTAACGTTGTGGAATATTTGGTGTACGTAGAAGAGTGACGTCTACTTCAAATTAATTTGTGTTTAAACCAGATAGCTTGTTCACCAGGTAGATGAGATGATTGAAATACTCTTTCTTAATCTTCTAAATTACATTTTAGCAAATAATTACTAAAGTTTCTATAAAACTTATCAGTCTATAATTTTGTTTCTATTGTATTTATTTTGTCAAAGACGGTTTTAATTATTTACTTATAATTGTTCAGGCATACGGCTCTTAATCAATATCTTAAATATATTTTATCATTATTTGGTTTTTCAATCTTTAGTTTCCTCTAATCAATTAAGAATACTTTGAATTATCTTCAAAAAAATATTTTCAATCTGACTAATATATATATATGCATCTGTATTCATCGATATCTCTATCGCTAGATATATATTTGGCGTAATATAATCCGGTTTTAATTATTTGTTTTTTTTTTCAGATAATAATACTCTAGACCTAATTTAAGTATTAATATTCTAAGAGCAAGGAAATTTTAAAAATAAATAAGAAAAATATTGAAATGCTTATGGTGAAACGAAATCTTAAATTATATTTTCTATTTTTGTAGATAACAGAAACACTAAATGAAACTTGGGTGAGCAGTTCCTTACAATTCATACCAATGCCAGAAGACGATGGGGTGCAACTCAAATGCCAAGCGGACAACAGTGCGCTCCCCGACCAGAGCATAGAAGATTCATTCAAACTCGATGTCGTATGTAAGTTTAGTATGAAGTAAATAATTCAGAGTTGTCTAGTGCCGTTGTTAATTATCGGCATTAAGGTGAACACAACACATGACATGCTAACATTTCACACAGTATCTGGAATCCGATATAACATGAAGCGACTCAACGCCATTTCTTGGGTTAATTTTGTTTGTAATGGGTGTTTACATCTTCGGAAAATTTCATCAGAAATCTAATTTGACATACGGAATAGGAATAGTTAAGATTATTTTGAATATTTAAGATTATTAATTTGGCGACGCTCTCAATATCTGTAATAATACTACGGAAGTACTTTATAATTATTTATACTTTTAAGATTTGACGCAGTCATTACTTTCAATTAATAATAATCTATTATTTTTCTCCTAAAATCTTATACTGTTAATAATACTGCTCTGCGAAAAATTATATATTTATAATAATTGTTTGTCTTTTTATTGCTATTTGGTAACTGACACTGAAACTACTTACTTGACGGAAATTGGATACCATTCGCAGTTGCCATTCCTGGGGATTATGTATTATCCCTCTAGTAAAATTAGCCATGTAAGTTGACAGCAGACACATTAGGTAAATAGAATACAAATTTGTATTTATATATAGATTCACTCGTATTTGCGTAGATATATATCTGAATAATATATTCCAAACATTATCTAGACGTGAATGCCCATGTGATCATAAAGACAAATTTTGGTTGGTAAAAATGTATATCTAGGTCGATCACATCAGGAATAGAATAAAGGACTGCAAAATGCAAATGCAAATGCATTTATTTAAGTGCATGAATATTATTCACTTAGTATATCTTTTATCTAAAACATACATACCGTCACGACTGTTATTCCAGATAGGGTAGTCAGAGGCATCGTGAAGTGTAGATGTTGTGGTAAACGCAAAACTAGAGACTTTTTGGTTTGATAACGGTGTTTCTTGCTCTGGACAGTTGGTCAGTAATGTAAATTATTATATAAAGTATTTATTTTTGATTAACGACCGACCCTCTCTCTTTTTATCTTTCATTTTTATTCTTAACTTTCACGGTCTAATAACAGTATTTGTTGTGTACTCAAAGTACATATTTGTTATTGTAACAGCTATTGCTATTGTATTTGTAACAGCTTCATTATTATATTAGTATAACTATTATTTCAATCTGTTTATAGTCATTTTTTAACTTGAATATTGTAAGATCATTCGTTTCTCGTCATTTCAGCACTATAAATCGCCTCAATCTCGTGCTAATGATTGCAATGACACAATTAGCGCCACTTCTTAATTCTCAAGACTCGTTCCCTAAACGAATATTGCTACAAAATAAGCAATAAAGGAGCTCGGCTTAACCAGTTTGCACATCTCTAACATCGTTAAGCTTAATTATCATTGCTACTTAAGCACTCGCGCTGCACACCCGCCCTCAACCGTTACGACACACTGTCTCCGCGAGTAGGTTTTTAAGCGTGACAATCACAACAGACTGTAAGTAGCATTAATACCTCGTGAGCTGTTAAAATGCAAAGTAGAATATTCAAATTTTAATTGATCAATATCTTTTATTATATTTTTAGCTCTTAATTTGATTTGTGTAAATAAATAGGTAAGGGGATAAATATGTTTTTATTGAATTATCGATGATTGATGAAAATTGTTTCTCAGTAACTTAGAAGTAACTTAGCAGCTCATCATTCCTTATCCCGTTTATTTGGGCTCGGTGTAACTTCGCAGTCATCTCGTTATTTACTCTTTTTCTTACGATATCATCTTTCAGATAGTGATCCGTCATCAGTCCATTTCTTTGTCGGCCTTCCTCTGCCTTTATAACCGTCCCCATTCATACATAACACCTTCTTTAAAATGTTCAACCCATGCTTTATATGCCCACACTTAACAGAACCTCGTCTTTAATTTCTTTTATTTATACAGAATAATTATTAACAACTATTTCCTTTTTTCTATTTATGGGTGTTAGGTATAACACTATTATGTTCTTGTTCCTATACAACCTGACCGTATGTTATACTAACAAAGAATAGTTGGATACAGCAAAATCTGACTCTACTGAAATTCTGAGTCTCCCGGGTGTTCATTTGTGAAAACGTTCATCTTGGGGAAACATATACGTTACTAGAAACTTAACGCTAAGGATGCTGACATACCTTCTTATTCTGGTATGTTCTTTTACAATGTAGTTTGTTTTTGTTTTAACTTGATTTAAGTAGTCAAACTATCACTTATCTAATCGATCCAAGCTTAAACACTGAAGTTTGTGTATTAAACTATTATATTATATTTTACATGTTAAATTAATTAACATTTTAAGTAAATTAATTATTTAATTTGATAATAATAATAATAATCTCATGACAGTATACATAGCACCATCTAGACCCAAGTTAAGCTAGCTAAAGCTTGTGTTATGGGTACTAGGCAACTGATACAAATATACATAGATATTTTTTTTCGTAAATACATACATATTATACATAGAAAACACCCAGGCACAAACAATCATACTCATGAATATAAATGTTTGTTCCATGCGAGGAATGAACCCGCGGCCATCGGACGTAAAGCGGTGTGCCAGACCGCTAGACCACCGAGGTCGTCAAATTACAATGAATTAATAATATTTAAAAAATATTAACGTCATTACTGCGAATACTTTTTAAAATTACATTGTAATAAAATAGTACAAGTCCTACGATTTTATAGGTAATTCTGTCTATTAGGTGTCAGAGTAGATCTTGTTCTTCTATCACTCTCCACCATCAGTGTATTATACTTGAGTTACTCGTTCTTCTTTTCGGTATTATCAAATTCGATGTGTATATAAAACTTTATTTTCTACATTTTCCCTTAATTCATTTATGTTCTTTGTCAAACATAATTATCGCTATCACCTCGATGAATATCAAATCCAGATGTTCGGTGTAGTGCCCCTCATTAGATGCCATTCCAGAGGACTATAATGTCATGTCTCCGTAACCCATAATATCACTACCATATCTCACCATTCAACTAAAAGACAACATACAAAGAATGCCACTTGTCACCTAAAATAGGAGAGTTAGTAGTATTTACGTTAACGATATGTTTTGTTCACTCCCTTCTACAGTAAAACTTCATATAGAACAATCAAGTACAGCAAAGGCATATTTTTTCTAACCCAAAAAGTTAAGAACCTTAGATCAGAGTTATGCAAGAGTTTGACATTTAATTTTATTAGATACTACTATCACTAAATTGATAATGTTTAAGCATGCTCTCTCTGGTGTTTGTCGACCTCGTTAGTAGATGGTTTAGATCACTGTTTTATATCCAAGTTCACGCACGAGGCATATTCATGGGTATGAATGTTTTTATTTTATTAGTCTGGGTATTTCCTCTAAAAGAATATTTTTATAACTGATAAAAATATTCTTTTAGAGGTCTAGTGCTCATAACACAAGTTCTGCTTAGCTTATAACTAGATGACGCTGAGTGAATTATCCGGGCTTCTTGTTATTGTTATTATGCCTAGTTTAATAAGTGTAAGCAGGTAAATGTCGAGTACATATTACATACTACACTATATACAACAGTCCGACGTTCGTGCGCTACGAACTTTACTAGCGACAGTTTATTCAAGGAAGTTGAAGTAATTCTCTCTAGAACTTAGCCTGGAACGGACGGACGAACGGACGCACTAACTTGATCGGTGATACCTTGTGTCTGAAGGATTAATGTGATTTTATATTCAGTTGCCCTGTACCCACCAAAGACACATTATTATTGTTAATGCAAATACAGAACATTACGGTTTGGTAGCAAGAAATTAGACAAAGGCAAATCTTTTAGTGTCTTGTTTTTAGAAAGAAAAATTAGTTAAATATTTAAGCGCCTGTGTTAAATTACAAAACAAGCCGTTACCCGCCACTGCGTCTATTTCTTTTTTTACGTCTACTTTGATTAATAAAATATCTTATTTCTGTCCTCGTGATACAATATATCTGCGCGGAAATTTAATTCAATTTAATAACATAAATTCAGCTTTTTTCGAAAAAAAGATAACGAAATGACACTGTCTGTCATTTCGTTATCTTTTTCATTATTAAACACGCTTCATAATTTATAATATTAATGAAAGGTAATATTTACATGTTACATACATTCAATTAAATATGTATAATGAAGATAAGGTTCAAGTCACACATCCCACTGATATTTCCTGAAATAGAATAGTTACGGAGAAATTTGCTCCTGCCCACGATTTTTCCTCGCAACCATAATTGAATGTAGACTGTTTTTAACATTTCACATGTATTATCAGCGCCAAGTTCATAATAGTTAAATTTTAAAATGTAGCATACAAACAATAATTACAATTAGTATGTCACTCGGAATTCATCATCGAATTATATAATGAAAGTTAACACGAAATTGTATTTTATAATTATTAGTATAAAGTATCTATGTGACCATATTTTCAAATTTAGCTTCGTGAACAAACATTTGGAACTAACTTTACAAATGGAACGGAAAGGTTAATACCAAAAAGTTTAATACACGTATATCTGTTTAAACATTGGGCGAGCGTAACTCAACGCAGTTAACTATGTAATTGCACGTAACGTAACGGGATTGTCAACATTTTCAAACAGTCCCCTGTGTAATGGCATTAAATGCTCATGTGCTGACAAGTCGCTAAAATGTAATTAAAACCTTGCTCCATCTGGAGTCCGCAACATTAGCTAACATCCGTTGACAACAGACCAAAACCTAATTGACTGGTGAGTTGGGATAGTACGTTTTATGTTTACCATAGTGACATTTTATACAAACGTTGCTAAACGTATATTATATATATATTCATAAAAATATACTAAGTAATTATGGATCTATTACTGAGGCTGTCGTTCTATTTCACGGATTCCTTTTCTGAAGAAACATCGGGTCTTCCTCATATTGCGAAACAAAATATGTTATTGAATTCACTGTCGTGAACCGCCGTGACACATTATTTTGCAAGCCATCAGCTAATTTCCGGGGCAGGCATACTGCAATGTCGGCGTAATAAAAATTATAAATATCTTGAATCAGAATCTAAATCTGGGAGTCCAAATGGGAGACTTATCAACGAAATAAATTCACCACACTTAACAAAAATGGACGCTCATTACAAAATTTACCACAGGGAAGTTTTTACAAAAAGTCTATGTCAAACATTTTTGAAACAGTTTCCTTCTCAATCTTTGTTTGACAATAAAGAGATACATACATACATACATACATACAGAGATATGACAATAAAATTGCCGGATATAGAGGCACACCGTAGTCTCAGGAATAGGGATAATATCTGACGATAAAGTATATTTTGTAATATCCTTTTATCATCATAATTATCATAGTTTCAACCCGGATGACAGCTATTAAACAAAGGCCTCCCCCAAAAATCTCCACGTCAATCGGTTCTGCGCTGCTCCACGTCAATGTGATATTCATATCCTAGAGGAGACAGTTATCACAATGCATTTAATGAACCGTCCACTTATTTACTATTCGAGTAGTTTATAGTAACATAAAAAACATAGGGCTATTCCAAATTTATTCAAATTTAAGATATCTCTGACGTTTTAAATTTAATTGTTTAACACATTTGTTTTTCTTTGTTTAAAATTAAAATGAAATGACGTTAGTATTTAAACTTATTGAACTTACTGATCTAATGTTGCCGCTGTTACCCTTTTTCTTTATATTTTCAACCAATAATATTAAAGCCAAGACATGATTAAGTATTAAGACTGAATCATCCTCTTTTTATACGTGTAACTTTTTTTGATAATGGACATGCATAAAAGTCATTTGTTGTAGATAACGTATCCTTCTTTATAAGACTATAATGTGGACAACATCATTTGTTTGTAGAACCACAAACAAGCCAAATGTACAAATCTGATTCGATTCGACGTCGGATAAAGAAGTCCATTTACAACTTCAAACGCCCTTAACAATTTTAATTTCTCGGTTCGCGCTTCGCTCGCTCTACAAAGGCGTTAAATAATTCTTCAACGGGAACGGTCATTTTTCGAAAAGCGCAAGGAAACACGCTGACTCTATTACGACAGAGGAAATTAATTTCCAAATATAAATAAATTCTATTTACTTCTGCTCGGCGAACCATAACGCATTTAGAACGGGGAGAATTTCGCCGTTTTCGGTGCGAATCGTTTTGGCAACAATTTAAACGGAGAAATCGTAAATGTTTATTTGGGAGAGGTTACTTCGACCCCGTGGCGACGTCGTTATAGCACTATAATGGCCAATAAAGTGTCAACGCCTGCTCCTCCTGCCGGCAGATAAGTAGCACCTGCAGACATCGCCCTCTCGAGTAGAGAAAGTATCCAATCTAATCAGTCATGACGAGTAATAAATTAAATATATTTTTATTTCCTCATTTACAGTGCTGATGTTATTTGCTAATGATTTTTAGATTACTTGTTTATATAATTCTTATAAGTAAATATATGCTTATAAATAGACAGTACCTCTATTGCAAAAAGAAACAAGTATTGTTATTTAAGGTATATAACCTTATGTATACTATCTTATTAGCAATAATTTATCCTTTTTAAATAAAAAGTAGTAAATATATTGTAAATATTTATGTTTATAAATTTAATTCCTAATTTTTTTTTATTCTTTTCACTGCTACATTTTTATTAAGGTGTTAAAAGCAACGAAGATAAAAAGAATATTGTAATTTTACTTCATACTGACGATTTCAGATACTGCGCTTTCTATTCTACCACAATTACTCACACACTTATCTTATTGATTTTATCTTTATCAATATACTGTATTACAGCAACATGTAAGGTAAGGTTCTCAATAGATGAAGTTGCATTCTATACCCAAAGCATCGGAAACATCGCATTAATCATTCCACCCGCAAGACAATGCCTAAGGAAAGGCCACCATCCATCCATCACTGTCGCTTAGGCTACCTGATATCCAACGGGAACTATACTGGGAAGATACTATTATGTAATTGCCATAGCCATCGATTTATTTCTTAACAAATTGTGCCCATGACTTCGTACGTGTGTACATATATGAAACGTAATAATGCGAAGCTGGCTGGCTGCGAATTTATCACAGAACCTACCTACTTAAAGCATAACGAAATGTAACTAAAAGATTCTTCTATTTCTAATATATTAATGAAAACCCGGTAGTTTAAGCGGACAGGCTATATATAAAATATAAAAAAAATCCGAAAACTGTGTCAATTAAAAATTTATCAATCATACATTTTATATCTAAAAATTACGCTGTCAGTACAGAATATCTGAATAAAAATGATTTTTAGATTTTTCTAGTCCAAGTTCAGTTCTATTTTCATGCGTTTATGTAAAAATAGTATTACAGATGCAGGAGAAAGTTAACTAACAATAAATAAGAAATAAATAATGTATAGTAATTCTTTGTTTTATTGAATACATCATTTACATATCAAAAACTAAGTAGGTATTATTCTTTAGGAAAATTTCTTAACTATAATTGTTTTCCAACACAGCAAGTATTTCAATAAAACGTGTTTAACATTTTATTTTAATATTAATTGAGGTACTGGCGTCATCTATTTCTAATTCTGTCAGTTGGCAACAGTCTAAAGTATCTTTTATTTTCAGATCCACCGGTAGTATCACTATCATTAGGAAGTACACTAAATCCACATGATATCAAAGAAGGGGACGACGTATATTTTGAATGTTCAGTACGTGCTAATCCTAGAGAAAACCGCATCTCTTGGTACCATAATGTAAGTACTCATTTGATTTTGACAGACTCGGTGGGCATACCGATTTCTATCCGTTGGTGGTATTCCTCGCGCGGTATAATAAATTCTTGCATTTAGGTAGTATATATTACTCATTTGATTTTAGTACCTATAATACAAGCTTACCGTGACCCTGGATAACGCTGTGTTAATCGTGCAAGGTTATTTACTTATTTGAGTTTTTTAATAAAATTTTTTTGTTTGTCTGTAATCTTTTCTTATATAACTGGAATAGCTAATAAGCTGACCACCTACCAGATGGTACTTACTATTATATAGCTGGTCAGCTAGTTAATCAGACATATGTTGAAATTTTTTGAAACCTTTATACATGAATAGTTCAATGAACATCAAGTATGTGACTAAAATATTAGGTTAGATTGAGTTAGGAATAAGGTAGTGCTGTCTGATGTATTTTTTTAATTCAATTGATAACGAATGTATATGTTAATAACCAGATATTAAAATATTTAGTACATTACAGTTTTACAATATCGTTACTGTTTACACTGCTTGTAAACCGCTAAATGTTTATTGTCTCTACCTCGCATTTAATATGAAACATCTATTTACTTATTTACTTAAATATTCTGTATTAGTTGAGTACTGTTGAAAGGCATACCATTTGTTCGATATTTGCTCGAGTTAATTATAAAGATAGCAACAACATGTATATATGTACGTATGTTTTAGAATTTTAGTATTTGACTTTTTGCTTATAAATTAATGTACCTATTATATACCTATGTGCAAAGAAATACCTATATCTAATAACTGTTAGACATTTATTGTTAATGTCAAATATATTTAATTTATGACTGTATAGAATATCTAATAAAGTAATAATTTGTAATATAATTTTGTGAAGAAAACTTGAAATGTTGTAACGTAAATAATGGAAAATTCCTTAAATTGTAAGTGAAAAGACACGAGTACATTATCTATCGTATACACTTCATCTTATTGACTATTTTTGAATTGAATAATTACAAAAATATTAGAGTATAAACTGAACTTATCATTATTGTTAATACAGGATAAGCCAGTCCTGCATAACGTGGTATTGGGAGTGATAGTGAGTACGAAGTCATTAGTACTCCAAAAGGTGACGAGGGACCACGGTGGCGAGTATTCATGCCGGGCTACAAACGCACTGGGGGAAACAGCAAGTCAAGGCACTCATCTCAGTATTCAATGTGAGTTTCATAATATATTTATTTATATAACTTCAATGCACAAAATACCAAGGTAAAAGTAGATATGGCGTACTTAACGCCTTACGGCATTTTCTACCAGTCAACCGAGGGTTGTGAAGGCGGTGCAAACATAATGAATAAGAAAAACAATATGTCTAAAATGTCTAAAAAAACTATAAATATATATGAATAAAATATATACATAAATACCATAGAGTTAGAAAAAGAAAACTTTTTATCTATATATAAATCTAATCCATTTTCTATAAAATTTATCCCTATCTATCAAGAAATATATAGAAATTATTATAATATACATTAATATCTAATTTGAGAAACCAGGGAAATAGACACGAAACAGAGCTGTTGTATACTACAAGTAATAGGATCATTATATGTATGTTATTATATATTAACTAGTCTCGGTTGAAATTAACTTCAATGTATATGTTACAGTTTATATTAAAATTAATGGATTTCCTCAAATAGAAATACAATGTCTCTTTTAAATCACATGAAACAATGACGTAGACCTACGTAAACCAATGCAGTAAAAAACACGTATCACGTAAAGTACATAAACATAATTATTAATGTTCATTAACGTAATAATAGAAAGTTTAAATGCTCTAAATAATACACTTGTCTCAAAATACAAACAAAATGAACACGGTAATAACAAAATAAACCCCGCAATAACAATCTCCCTCCTACAAAAATTAGATAACATTGGATAAAAAAGAAAACACCTCAATAAGTAAATTGTACCGAAGATATTACTCTTCCGATCTAAATTGAGGGAGTCTTTTGTTCCCTATTATTATCAACAAAGTGCTTATAAATTTCATTTCATTTCGTGAAGGGCTTTTCGTCGTTTGCTTGTATCAATCATTCTCAAGGATCTTATCAAAGATTTGTTAGAGTCAACGGGGTGAGATGGAGACAATGTATTGAACAAATGTACCCATTCTCTGATGAAATAAGGAATAAATCTCTTGCGTGATGGTATATATCCGGTTCTTGATGTAACGAAATTTGTTTTGTAAAATAGACTCGTATTATAGAGATTAGGATAATAATATAAAAGATCAATGATCCTAATATAATTTTAAGTCTTTTACTTCATTTAAAAAAACAAATTTGAGTATAAATAAAACATATATTTCAAATTATAAGCATATGTTATTTTTATCAGCTCTTTCCTGTGTTTCCATCATTACGATAATAGTGACTATTATTATTTATTATTAGAATACTAATGTTTATACATCTGTCTATTTTTGGGCTTAAACAAAGTATGAAACCAATTAGAATACTAAAGGAATTAAATATTTAGAAATTAACTTACAAAATATTCTTTACTATCGTGTCGTTTATAAGTCTTAATGAAGAAGGGGGAGAATTTAAGTTTATTGAATAATATTCAGCGTATAAATAAAAACATATGTTCGTATTTTTTAAAACTTAAATGTACAGCTTAATAAATTTTAATTTTGATATATACTTCTGCCGTAAGAAGGATTTTCCAACATTTTATAATGAATTAATAAACTATTTTTTTATCCATCAATACCGCGAAAAACTATAGGGAATAATTCAATACAAACATTGACAAATGCGTCAATATACTCGAATGGAGACATCGTTATGGGAATATTTCTACTCTTCGGTGTCAAAGGGCAGGCATCAATAAAAAGAAATAGACCAGATTTGCCGTGTGTCGATAACACCAGAGACAGGACAACTACAAATGTAGTCTTGTCTGTACTTTGTTCGCTGTTATAGGGTCATATATTTCTCGACGCAAGCGACAAACTGGCAAGATCTCATTCTTCCTTTAAAAAAAATTACAGAAACCTTGTTGTTAAAGCATTGCCACAATCCCTCGTAGTGACAAGATGGCTATCAATCACTAAAGAGGAGGTTAGACTCAGCGTCTTTACTACCGACGACCGGTATGCGACAAATGTAGCCCTGTCCTTTCCTTATTTGTTATAGTAAAGCTATGCTCTCACTATATAAGTGAAAATTCGTCCATACTAAATAAGTGACACTCAATACAGAACAGAATAATTAATATTTATTATAAATTTCTATTTTTGAAGAATGTATTAATAAATAAAATATTTAAAATATTGTAAAAAATATATAATATACCTTTTTAATTTTTTTTTTATATATATATTCCTTACCTACTATTTATGTACATGAAGTAATGCGTTTTTCTCGTGATGTAATACACACTCGGTATATAAATCACTGTATCCACCACTGTATTCAACATTAGTGAATACGAACCCTAACTCGTTTGTTTCACTTTTGTAGCGTACGCCAACAGTTTGTTCCCGCCTTATTGATCCGTACCGTAACAAATCTAAGGTAAAGAAATGAATGTTGTTACCCGCACGCGGTACACGATCGTCTGCTACCTACGGTGTTACATTAATCCATATACATATTTTCATATTCCCCGTACAGTAATCCTTCCTTAGAAGGGCTGCTTAAGTGGAGCAAATATTTGGGAGTTTAATGAAAATCTAAGGCAGCCCTAGCGCAGTTTTGTAAGTAGATACCTAAATGAATCACGCCGGAGTGCGCCGCGCCGCCAGGGGAACAGTTGGGGCGATAAAATTTATATATCGTCTAACTTCTGTTATGATTTAACGAACTGAATTCGGGTCTCTTTCAGCTCTTTATGTTAATTATTGCATTCTTCCTTTTGTCGAGCTTTGAAACGCAAAGTCAAGGAGCCGAGTTCGTTAGATTTATTGGAGTGTTACAATGTTTATTTTAATTATACAAACTTCGGCACGTGTATCTGTTCTAATTATTTCGTAAATATTTTTTCTTGCAATAATAATGAAACAAGAGTTGTTTGAAATTGTTGAGTATAATTATTTTTCCTTCTTGAAAGTTTCTTTTTCATTTATGTTGCACTAGCCATCGGTCCTGACTTCATTTGTGTTGACAAATTTATTTTATGCATATAGATTAATATAGTTCTGATAGGGGTTCAAATAGAAACAGAGTTTAAAATATATATATAATGTAATCTTCTTATGTATACAAACTCACAAAAGTTGTCTCAGTAAAAATAGGTATCATCTATGCGAAAATACATAACCGTAATTTTATAGAATATCGAAGTATATAGTCCTAATGCTATTCCATGGTATAGATGTCATATTATTAGTATATAGATAAAACTAATATAATATATAAAATAATACAGATGCACCCGTCTGTTCGCACCCTTCGCCGCAAGTGCTTGGTGCACAAATCGACGAGGCACTGCGCGTACGCTGCTCCGTAACAGCCAATCCACCAGACGTAACGTTCTTCTGGCAGTTCAACAATAGTGGAGAAAGTCTCGATGTATCCCCTACTAAGTTTGGTAAGTTTCTTAAATAATTGTTATTTCTCACTATTTTTCTACACACAATGTTAGATAACAAAGCAAACAAGCTTTATTAAACAATGTTTTTCATCATTCTTTGCCTCCTACAATTATTTATATAATAACGTATATAGAACATTTAACTTAAAATCAATATTGTTATCAAAGTAATAAAGTTTCCATTTTGTGAACTATTCTGAAAATAGAACTACTATTATAAAGTAATACATATTATTAGATTATTGTAAATTGACAATTTAAATTCATTTTAAATGACATCTATAGCTACTTTACATTACCAAAGAATATTATTACGAGCGTGTATAAGTACCTACTCTATCTTCTGAATCTTCACTGCGAGCAGTAAGATAGCTAGCGTGGCTAATACTGTATATTACGTGAACGACACTTCACAATTTGTTTGTAATTTTCATAGTTTCATTGTGTATTATGCTATTTGTTGGAGCTTTTGCAGCTCCAAGAATATAAATCTTGTTATAATAATTACTTTAATGGCTGATTCTTTACAAAAATATAAAATTGTGACTGACTTTACTAAGCAAAATCGGCGGTCGACTCTGTTTTCGGGGTTTGTCAATGACCTCCGGACGGTCTTCGCTGGTCGCGCTGCTGCTTCATTAGGGTACCGTGTAATAAACACTATTTATCCCTAGGCACGGCGAACGGTAGTACAAGTGAGCTCAGCTATAAACCACAAAGTGAGCGGGACTACGGTACACTCAGCTGTAGAGGGACCAATTCCGTGGGTAGACAGCTCGAGCCATGTATCTTCCAAGTGGTGCCCGCTGGTATGTTATATTTTCACTTATAAAACACTTTTAAATTAAATAGAACTTGCTTGGAAGTTACATTCTTTCTACATGTCGGAATTAACATATACGTTGCTTTACTTCAGGCATGTAGAGAGAATGTCTGACGAAACCACAAAGATTTCTATGTGGCATTTTCTAGTTAACCTTACATTAGTTCAGACAATAATCAGGTAGCGGTGCAAATAAATTATAATAAATATATACATTAATACATTACATACTCAACTATACATACACCAGAAGTCTGGCACTTGATGAACTATAGTGACAAAAAGTGAAAATGTAAGGAATAGACAACTGAGGAAAGAGAAAAAATATTCCCGTAATTTACGTTTGAAGGAAATTTCTTCGTAACGTTATATACGCTATAAAAAAGTCGTATAACTATAAATTATATTTTTATATATTACAAGTTAATATAATATAATATAAATATATAAAATAGATATATTAGAATTTTATAATTATATAAAACAAATTTTCCTATTTATTATCTGTAGATTCAAGTTTTATAATATCAGTTAGAAGCGTTTGTCGCATACGCCAAATCTCATAACTCTTGTTCACTGCTAAATAGCAACTGGATGTGATAACTTTTATGATGTTGGCCTTTGTTAATCAAAGTTATCAACTTCTTTACGGGTTAGGCTTCTTTTATAATTTATACTGCCTCAATCTGCATTGCAAAATTTTAACAAGTTTAAATTATATTGTTATTTTACGGAATATCTACAAGAAGCACTGAACATTATTTATATAGTGGAGTATAAATGATAATAGATCCATTTTGGTGGTAATAGATTAATAGATAAAGGTAGAAACTAATTATAAAATAATATAGAACACATATTCTGTTTCACAAAAAAACTGTTGATCTTAATGGGAGTAATACCAGAGTAAAGTAAATCGATTGTAAAAAGAATCATCAATCAAAACTTCGCTCAATTTTCACGAAAAGTTTACGAAACATACGTGCATTTTACTGAATGTACAACTCAACTATAGATGTTAAGATACGGATACGTTTTGAAAAGGTTTTCTTAATATTATATACACTTAAAGTTCATTTTATAAACGATTTAGTTATTTCAAGTAGGAATTAGTATGTCAATAGTTCTAGCTAAAAACCTAACAACATAAAACAGAGCAAAAGTTTACATTAGTACTCGACCCATATCAAATTTCATTTACGGTACGGGTGTTATAACCCTTTTACCCTATATGAAATATGATAGCAACGCATTTTGTAGTTACCCGAAATGGCACAATGTTTGTCGTTTGAATATCAAATACTATCTACGTACATTAGTGGTAACATTAAAAAATGTATCTACTCTAACGTTCCCAGTCGGTATGCAAGTCATGATACTTAACAGATATTGTATTGGGTCAAGTAAAGAGATAAGTGACTGTTCCCAGATGGGGTAGTCAGGGAGGTAACGTGACTGGGAGGCGAGCTACCCTCTTCTCTCCGATTAATTTGGTTATTGTTGTTATTGATGTTTCCATAAGCGGGGAATCAGTTGGAAATATAAATTATCAAACAAATTCATTTTGTGTCAGCCATATTCGAAGTTAGGACATCGGATTATAAAACACTATACTAGACCACGACGCTATAGTAATAGACATATTGTCCGTCAACATACCGTAGGACAGGCGACATTCTATTTTCATCAATTAAAGGTGTCTTGTGTGGACTTCCATAAATAAATATGTTATTAATATCACAGGTAAGATAATTTATTTTCATAAATAAAGTTTGTGAGTATGGACGGATAGATGGATGGATGAATGTTTGATGCTCTTTCACGCAAAAACTACTTTATCAAACTTTACAGTAATATATACATCAGAATAACACTTGGACTATAAATTTCATGCGATTGAAAACGCGGACACATCTAGTATTTATATGTTTTTTTATTTGAATGGAATTAAATTTATGGACCTCTTCCATACAATGATATTTAATTCTTCGCTATAACTCCAAGGAAATATGAGTTAACAGTTGCAACTAGGTGCAGCAATATAAGCTCCAACCCGCAGCATTTAATATCCCGCACGTATACCAGTTCGTTATAACGTATAACATAATATAATGTGTTAAATTGTCAACGGTTTCCATAAATCAAGCCAAAATTAGGAGCTCTACAGTTAATTCACGTTTGAACAAACGTAGCTATTATACAATTCTCGAGTATTATGGTTTGAATATTTGATAATAGATACACAGACAATGTAACCTGGCGTATACTGAATTGAAATATTATAAATGACTAATAGTTATGTTCACCTACAGGGGTCCTAATATATACCATATCATATGTATATACTACTAGGGCTAAACTATAAAACTAGAGGTTAATTTTAAATAGTCAGCTACGTAAATATTCCAGTTCTATTTAATGCATCAGCTACTTGATTGCTCAAATATGTGTGCTTTATCTAGCGTTTGAATCTAGCCCAATGGAATGTTTTTCTTTTTTTTAAATCAGAACATGACTATAATCAGAATATATAGATCTGATCTTATAGCTATTGAAGAAGAGTGCAATGCTGTGTGCATTGCACTCTTCTTCAATTCCTACCTTTTCTGTAATTATTACGTGCATAATGAATAACTTATATTGCGTATGGTATATTAACGAATGTATATGATTGCATAAGACTAAATAGATATAACTTACATATTTACTTTTATTAGAGTCATAAGTACTAATAATACCTAAAATTGTAAACGAACCTAACGTAATTAAGATCGTAAGAATTACTTGTTTGTTTGTACTTTCATACTAATTGAGCATGCTAATCTCAAAAACGACTTCTCCAATTTCAATTCGGTTTTCATTGTAATATTGTAAGATTTCTGTAATATTTATGCATTTGTTCTAGTCCAATCGATTTACAAACAGAAAAGTTATTTTATAGTATTATAATTTTTTTCTATACCTATATATAATATGTTTATTCCTAGCGCGCCCATCTGCTCCCCGTAACTGCTCTCTGCAAGCGGGTAATAACAGCGTAGACGGCGCGAGCTGGCTCCGCGTACGATGCGTCGCTGGTTATGACGGTGGCCTGCCGCAGACTTTCATACTGGAAGCTCTAGATCCAGTTACTGGGAGGACTAGATTCAACGGCAGTGTTAACGAGACTGGTAAATATTATTGTGATATTATAATAAACAATGCAAAATACACCATGATATCACTGAATACAAATTAACAAATCTCGAAAATTCACATGCCAAAATCTTATACGGTGTGCGAATACCATTAGCGCAACCGTCTTATAAATAATAAGTCTTATTACGTAAATAAGAAAAAAAACTCAATTTTATTAGATAATAATAATGGATTCGTATTATTTTGTACCATTAACATGTGTGAGACCACAAATATTCGATGTGGAACCCTGACCACTGCAGCGTTATATTTTCGCCTATATGGTGACGGTTACTACTAACCATCAGGTGATCCAATAGCATGCTCGCCGCTTCCAATTACATTAAAAAAAGCTCTTACCTTAAAGATATAAACTACTGAAATTAGCACGACTTGATTTTAAATGTAACACAGGATATCATTTACCTTTCTAAAAATGTATTCACCATTTGGCCATGGAGTCGTCCAATTAATATATTATTAAGCAGGTCTGTTATTCCATTGATCTAATAAGCAATTCTTATAGCTATATGGAATATTAATATTAATTACATCGAGAATTTTACAAGTTATTTAAAAGCAATTTATCCTGATTTTATATTACGTAAAAGTGCGTATTAAGTTCAATCAAAATATATTTAATATCTACCACAGATAACATAATATTACATAGTAATATATCTACTGAGTATTTTTTTATTTTCAAACATATACGGATTATCTGAATTTAAGATATTACCAATTATTTCGTTATCCAATATTATCATATCGTCACGAATCTTTAAATTAATTGAATTTAAGATATTTCCAATTATTTCGTTAACCAATATCAGTATATACGTCAAAAAAGGTATATCTTTTTAAGTATCAGTTCAAGTATTTTGCTCATTATGCTAGCTAGACTTTGTAAAAAGTCGATAAAATTAATACCTCACTCTCACTTATTTAAGCTGCCAAGCAACTTGCCTTTTAAGATGTTTTGGTTTAAGAGCAAGAAAATGCAATGAAATTACAGAGGCATAATATCTTAGTCCTCCGAAATGGCAAAGCATGAGTGGTATAAAGGTATCTTATAATAATATGATGTCCGTAGTGCAGTTTATATATTTATATACACTGTATGTAACTGTTACCATTTACCATCGACTTATATGATATTTCCATAAAAAGTTACAATATTAAAATACTATACAGATGGCCTAGCTGTGTTCAAGTTGGATGTAACGCAACTCTCATCTGTTGTTGATGGCCACGGCACCACATTCAACTTACTCATATATGCCAAAAACCTAAAAGGAGATTCTGAGAAGACTTTACTTGAAAACATTGCATTCAATGATGCAGCTAGAAGAACAGGTATATATATATTTTGTTTTCCTACAATTAATTATAACCAAGTAGGACAATTTATACATCGCTCGTTCCACAGTAAACAAGATTTGTGTCGAATCGAACCCGACACCATTGGCAGTAAGGCAATTAAAGTTTATTAAGGTAACTTAAAAAGAATTCAATGATATGTAAATATAACTTGTAAAAATAAAAAAATAAAACCGTTGATAAACTATATTGATACTTGCTACACGAGGACGATATACTGGGCTCCTGATATATTGAAGTAAGACAAATGTTATATTCACTACAACGATAATACCTCTCAGTATGGCGCAGGTATATAGATTAAAATGTGACGATACTTTAAGTACAATGATCGCACTATGCACCTTACTTCACCTAAAATATAATTCATATGACATGATAGAAACATGTTGAGCATTTATGTAATATGTATTTGTAAACTGGGGAAACCTTTGCCTAGCAGTGGGACACTAATTAGGCTTAAAAATTTTAATATGTATTTGTATTGTTCTTAAATCATCAGTTAGTCAAAATCATTTTTAATTATAAGACGTTTTTGAGCCACTCATTTTCGTCACAATTTTTTATTACTATTCCTACCATCTATCTAGTTCGACTAGCTATTTCAGCTGAGAAGAACTGACAAAAGTTACATATAAGTATCATTTTATTAGACGGTCTCGGTGGTAACGGTATCGGCTTAGCACACCGCCTTACTTTCGATGGACGCGGGTTCGATTCCTTGCACGGCACAAACATTTTTATTCATGAGTATGTTTGTTTGTATCGATCTGGGTGTTTTCTATGTATTATATGTATGTATTTACGAAAAACATATATCTACCTATTTATATCAGTTATCTAATATCAATAACACAGGCTTTAGCTAGCTTAACTTGGATCTAAATGGCGCTGTGTGAATTGTCCTGATTGTCCTTATTTGTACACAGATGGAAAAGGAGCCATGGGTGGTGTGACCCTTGGTGTAATGGTAGCTGCTGTGCTAGGAATTACTATTGCTATTGGCGGAATAGCTTTCACAGCACTATGTGCTCGTAGACGTCGCTCGCAACCCCCTCACAAACACCCTCCAGGCGATATGCTGGAATTAAGTGATGGTGGTCGCCGATATGTTGTTGCTTACACCATTAAACCGTCACCAGATATGAAAACGCCTGATCCACAGCCCGATATATTAAATGCTCCTGGTAAGCCTAATACATATTTACATTTTCTATAAATAAAACTGTTCTGTAAATTATTATGTACAAAAACTCCCGCTATGTTAATTTTGTCTCATTATATTATTCATCATCCATTTATTACATTATATATTCCGAACTACAATGTAAGTAATTTATATTTATAATCAGTTATTTTGAAATTTTAGTTGATATTTTTTTAGTATTATTATTATTAGGATGTAAATTAATTTAATTTTTTGAAAATATAATCATGAAAGGAATCTTTCCTTTATAATACAGATTCTGATAATCAACCTGCACCACATTCTACGGATGAAGTCGACGAATGGCCTAGCATAAAAGAAGTACGAGGTATGTTATAAAACTTTACGTTCTATCTATATATAACATCGTCAACAAACTTCACCTTGAGGAAACAATACTTAAATTGTTATTTAAATCTTATGACGTACTCATAAGATTACCACTGTTTTTTTTTCTTGTTTACTCCTGGGTACGTACTACTTAATACTTGCTTATTACTAGCTATACTTTGTCAATCACATCTGTCTGCATGGTTTGTTAGTTTTAGTAGGATAAGACAGTGAAATTACTTAATCCACTGGTATATCCGTGTTGTTGTATATAGGTACAGTTACCACTTACCGTCAGTAGTCAGCTTATTAGCGCCTTTCCAGTTCCATAAAAAAACTTCATCAATATTTCATCGATCCATCGATGTTCAATTGTCTGTAGCTGATAACTACTTTCCATTAGGTAGACCTTTAATTTGTTTGTCAATTGATATGTTATATAAATGATGTTATTAGTATATTAATAACCTTAAATATCTTTAGGAGACTGGTGTAAAACAGGAGCAGTTTTCTCGGCAGAAGACTTAGCACTTTTAGATACTGCTGGTAGACCTCAACAGGTAATGTCACTTTTATAAAGCATATATCTTTAAATTTAAAAAATCTAAAAATTAAGCAGATAAAAAGCAAATAAAAATTGCGTGTAAACTAAAATCATTTAAGTTATACGTTTATATTATAATCTTTAAATTAAAAGCAATACTTCAACAATTCTACACTTAATATAAATTTACCGTTTATTTATTTAATTAATTACCGGGAGCTCTTACATAAAATTACGATAAATATTCCATTTACATAATTTGTACGATAATGTCAAATACTTATTGAAACAATATATAACATTTATGAAATATTTTTTGACAGCTTACACCAGGAAGTGACTTGGCACCTAGCAGTAGACAAGAGGATGTTCTTAATCAAAATATAGCTCAGACAGTATTAGGAAATAACTTTAGGCCTAACTTTGTAGTTTCCAACAGTCCCACATTGGGGAGTCCCAACTTTGTCTGCCCAAATGGCAATGTAGGATCGCCATTTGGCAGTCAGACGTTAACACTTAGTGGACCGACTTTAAGCTCGGGGAGTCTTGCAACATCAACCTTACATAGGACCAAAGGTAAAGGTAATGCACGAAGAAGAGAACACGTATTAACTGAAAATTTACCTGGACCAGAAAGTTGTGTGTGAAGTGACAGTGATGTTTTAATTTGAACCATTAGTTACGTTCGCCAACGAAATACAGGTTAACTAATTATACTAAATACATTTCATGTAATTATTCCGTTTTGTAAATCGTATGTAACGTATGTTATTGTTTGAATTACAAATATGTTTTATTGATCTATCTCAATCCATATTGTGTACAATATATTCAGCTTACACGATTTATTATTGCAGTAGAAATTGAAAGCTTTACGGCTATTTTTAGTAAAAAACAACTAAATATATTCAGGAATATGAAATCGTTCATTTTAAAACACTAATGTAATCTGTAAACATTATGTGAATAATTTCGATTGCTGGTTTTATATGTATTTGCTCAATTTTTTTCGTAATCTAAGATGTGATCATAAATTTTCATTCATAGTTCAATGATTTCCTAACTCTAAACATTGCAGTGAGCCAGTGATATAATTTGGACTAATTAATCAGACTGACTTCATAATACAAATTTAATAGAAAAATCTCATAAACTCAACTTTCAAATAGTCTAATAATATCTACCTACTATCGTAATACAAATTGGCTCATTAACTTTACAAATGGCGCTCCAATTTAGTATTTAAGATATAGAATAATATATCATAGACTTATAGATAATTTAAAAGCTTGTAGAAATCCCTATTTATTTTAATAAACTCGGTTGTGGTAACTGTATATAAATTTAGGTGATAATAATGAAAACCAAAAAGATAACAAGGCTTTTGTTGTCATTTATGTAATTAATGTGTTTGTAGAAATTGTAAATATTCGTTATAATTGAACAATGAAGGTGCAATTTCAAGAGTCTTATTCGAATTTGAATTTGTTAATAAAAATTAATAGTTAATTTTTGTGGTTTCAGTATTCAAAGAAACAAATAATCAAGAGCAATGAACATGAAAAAACTAATATTCTGTTTCATACGTCTTGAAGAGCGTGGAATCTACAAATAAATTATTAAGTTGATGTAAAATACTAGTGGCATGGCCTTGCTTCGATCGAATATTCACAACCTTGTGAGTTTTGTATATATATTAACATTAGATATAGTCTATGTCACTCTGGAATAATGTTACTTACAAATAGTGTTAAAATTTAGTAAGTCAAAATCCGCTCTTCCTCTTTATAATATTAGTATAAATAATTTCTGCAGACGGGTTTATATTTTTTATTATATATTATATAGATATATTAAATGTTTTGTCATAATTCATATACTCTTGAAATTGTCGCTTGTAATGTAGTGCCATTTTATATGATACTTGTAAATGTTTCAATTTATGTTGATTCTATTAAATAGAGTTTAATGATGATACTGTGGGTTATAGATGAATGTATATAATATATATTATGTCGATCGAACTGTTGTAGCTGTCAATAATTTCCGTGGTTCTAATGATCTGATATGGCAATTTTATATTTAATAAATAAATCATGATTTATATAAATTATTGAGTTTCTTTTCACATTCCTCATAAATATATATACACGCTTAGTAATATTTGCTTTATTTATTATAATCGGTAATCTGTTAAAGTAATTTTTTTATTAATTGCTGGAATATTAAGATAATTCTTCATGTCCATAACAGTACGTAATTTTCACCACACGAACCAAAAGAGCTTTTGCCATTAGATGTTCTATAACGAATAACCCAAAATCCTTACCAATTTTCAAACAAAGGGCTATCTCCGATTCGAGTGTGTACTTTTTATGTGTTTTGTATTCCAACATTCCAAAGCTTCTTTTTACAATGTACAAAATTTACTCACGTAATGGACATGTGAAAATTTTGTCGCTATTGTAAAATTCCATTTTTATGCAGAACAAAATATAGCAACCTACTTAAATTTTATGTACATTCAATTAATATACTTCTCGATGACTCTAACTCTATTACTCTTTCAAATAAATATATTCCTTAAATCCATAGATTATGAATAATAAAATGCACTTGCATATATTTATAAGAACAAATTAAATATTCCATATAGTAAATAAATGCAACTGATATTTGTAAGGATTATTTTAGTACTCGATAGGTTTTAATGTATAATTAACCCCATAAATATGTTGTCACTTTGATGTAGCTTCTTTATTTCTGAAAGTAAATGTACTCGTCATTTGCCACAAATTCATAAATATACAGACTGTCAAATATTCATTAAAAACACATTTACCTACTCAGAAAACACTTTTTCGCATGACCGACTTATTTCAAACTACAGTACTTAATACAAACTTGCCTGTACCTAAATTTATACGGTAAATCGGTCTTGCACATATTAATATGTATACGTAGGTGGCGAGTTCAAGGTCCAAACTTTATAACATCACCAATTTACCCACTCCTAGGGCGCTGGTCGTCCAATCTAATGAAAACCCCTGCCGGCCCATTCACCTGTCCTGTAGTCTTTACAGGCGCCGAGCGATGGTTATAGTAAATCCGTGGTTACACGGATACGAACTTTTGCTTAAATAACTAAGGCTTCTTATACGTGTATTTACATATATACTTTATGATACGTACGCATTACTTATTTCGTTTTGACGTCCTTTGATCAAATATCAATGAAAGACCTGTCTTTCATATTAAAATAAATTACAATCTAACCTTGCGCTCGGTCTTGTATATATTTAACGTTGGTACATGGAATATAACAAAACAACCAACCTGTCGAAATGAATTAAATGAAAGATCAATAATTATCTTAAATTCTAACTTAGAATGAAGTTAAAAGAAAAGAAATAAAAATAATAAACAAATATTCGATTTTAATTTTAGTTTTAAGCATTAGTAATAAATATGTCTACTTATTGTTATGAACAGATAGGCAGAACATTTTTTTATTATTATTTTATAATAACCAATCAAAATTTTATCTCAGCATTATGCCATGACTATAGTCGCGATACTCCCCGAAAAAAACTATATCTTGAATTCAAGATGATGTGTTGGAGTATCCAGTGAAATTACAAGGTACATAAAGTCTCCGTCCTTCAAAACTGAAACAAAAACGTACAACAGCCGTAACATGGTAGAAATTTCCTTTACGCTGTTCATGTATATATATATAATGCGATTTATTATAAAGCAGGCCATCAACTTGTTTTCCACGGCAGTTAGGCGTGGAAAACAAGTAAAAAAGAAAAAATGTACATAATTCATCTAAATTCACTATAACCATATTTAGTTTTAGTGAACCATGTAACCGCTGCCTAACATTCGACTAAGCTCGTCCATAATATTGGATTAGTGAGTATACGACGCCACTAAGAAATAAATAGCGGCGCGGCAACTGCTAACTTAATAATACAGTGTCTGTTTATTTTTACAAAATTTCTTTCCATTTCCAACTGTGCACGGTCTGATACGCAATTCTGTTTAATCTTTCATTATTAAACCCTCACCTAAATAAACATATGTGTTTTTCATATACACATACCGTTCCCTTTTCTTTCACCACAGGTGTTAATAGAGATAATATATTATTGTAAACGTTCTGTAGCATTTTAAAAAAAACTATACTCAATTTATCTACTGAATAAAACTACTACTAACCTGAGCTGAAATTGATATCTCGTAGAATTGTAAATAAATACTGTTATACCTATAGGATCATTTATATTAAATTCATGATATATACATATACTTTTACACAATATATTTTGCAGTTATGTACGTAAGATGCTAAAAACATCCATAAAATAAAAAGCTTAAACAATTTACAAAGCGCCATCTAGACCTACAGTAAGCAGATTTTGTATTATGGGTACTACACAACAGATATAAATACTTAATTTTTTTTCTAATAGATATATAATATAAATAAGGACATCCAGACCGATACAAACAATCATACCAATGTTTGCACCGTGCGAGGAATCTAACCCGCGACCATCGGAAGTAAAGTGGTGTGCTAAACCGCTATAGCACCGAGACTGTGCATATTTATTTTGTTCTTTTTCGTCTTTAATATCTTATCAACAGTGATTATCACATGTATAACTGTAAAATAGATTTTAAATTATATATAATACTCCATAAATAAAGTACTCCTGATAAGATATAATTTAGCAAAACTAATGCATAATCAATAAGGCACAAGAAGTTATAAAAAAGTATTAATTACTGTATTGAGACATTTTACCTACCTATTCAAGTTACTGGAAATTTAATTATAGTTCCATAATTCGACTATCAAATCGAAAGCTACGGGTGAATATACACACAATTATTATCACGGTCTACCACAACCCCTTCTATAACAACTCAAACATTTATGGAATGATAACATTGAAGCCAAGTTTACGTACATTGAATAAGACGGGAGGCAAACACAAAATTCCTTAAACACAATGATGGCACTTCCGTTTATTTATTCAGGCAAACGCAAAGTGCCGGGTAGAGAGTACCATGGATACACTTGTCAGCGTCACGTCACAACTGGCCGGAGATTTACATAAAAATATTTTTAGGTCACTACAAATGTTTAAAATATAGTGCACTCGTATGGTCTTTTTTTTATGTAATTGGAATGACAAAAATAAGAACTGCATTATGAATATCACGTTATCATGTGTCACCTGTAATACCACTCATGCATTACCATTCATGAAAACAAAATGCCATAAAATACAAATATTTCCTTACACATACATAATTCTTTCAATTTAAAAATGCTAAATAAGAAAGACATGATTTCAAAATTAATCACGTGCATGGTTTTCTTTAGGAGTTAATGTTCTTTTCGAAAATAAACAACTCAGACAAGTGTATTAAGTCTCTAAACTCTCAGAGACTTGAATAACATTAGAGCAAGAAATAAGCTTATTCTCCGAGCTTACCCTCGCGATTATGTCTCCTAGTCTACTTACAGAATTAAATTGAAGCGACTATAAATGTAAACAGAATTAATCATTTTAGACACTTACACCTAAATCCTATTATGGGAATTCAGGTTTTCCCTAACAGCATCCAGTTAGTAGACTAAGCAATTGACCACTTAATTAGGTAATAATGTAGAAAAGGTAAGGTGCTGGCATTTAACGTTTTATCGACGTGATTTACTGTAAGGATCGTAGTTAACTAGTTTCTTAATATTTGGCTCTCTCTTGAAAGATTTTTAGTAGGTAGGTATTTATCCAAAATTAAACAAATTTTGTCATGATATAATGTTTATTAAATTAAATATTGCATCAAAGTAACTCATTTAGGTACATAATAAAGAGTCGCCGTCATAACTAGTTCAATTTATTAGTAAATTTAAAATTATTAGTAAAACAACACATAAAATATATAAAATTAAATATTCTAGTTTTAATTTTTAATTTTCGTTCACCCTAGTCAACTATGAACTACTAAGACAGTTACTAACATTCATAATCCTAATGAAAATATGGAAATACCTTCACGAAAAATATAACAAGAACTTCCAACACATTCGAAAATAAAACTCTTTTTTTCGGCCGACCTGCCACTTCAATGAAGGAGAATAAACTTTGAATAGAGCATAATATAATCAAAAGTTTTGAAAGATGCCACGTAACTGTTCGCCGACTTCATAAAGAGAGCCGCCACGTGTAAATGACGTGATCTTTCGGTGGAAAAAAAGGTCGCGCGGGATTTATTTATTTATATCCGGTGGGCGCGCGTGGAAAGGGGCGAAACTCGCGTACAAAAGCTGTCCGCGCGCTTATCGCGCGCGTTACCGGACGAATCTGCTCCACCGATGGGACCTTGGGTCGCGGGAAATTACAAAAGGACGTAGGTCCGGCATTAGTGCACAGACGGAAAACGGCATAATAATAATTGCAAATTAATAATAAGGCCGAACATGCGTACCATATATCAGTATAGCCGCGATATTAATATTATATATATATACATACATACATTCGTCCGCAGCATAACAATATATATAGATACAATACAACACAAAATAATGCACAAGTAATATATAATACCTATTTAATATAACAATGTGCGTTCCAAAGAAACATTATAAGAAAAGATAATGTGATTTGACCCGGGGCTAAAAACATCCATGGAGGAAGGTAATGAATAGTCGAGCGGCGTAAAGGCTCGGTGTAGAACAATGTGTAAAGGGATTCTGAGACGCCATCTGGACCGTCAACACTATTTTGTGCCTCACGGAAAAATGTAAAGAGAACTAAAGAAGAGAAAGAATATGCCAGTCAGAAGGCGTATAAGTTCTCGTGCACGATACTTGAGAATTTTTTGCGCAGTCAAATATATAGATATATAAGATAAGTTTGTTAAGGACATCCGTAACCGATAGGAACAAGTCGAACAATGTTCTGCACCGAAATGGTATCGACTGGAAAGGTTGTGCTCTAGTCCATATGGCGACCGCGCGTCAGCTGCAAAATCTTGCGTCAG